CTCCTCCTCTCTCTCCCTCTTCGTCCCCAGTGCTACAACAATCTTTACCACGATGTACGTGCATAAAACTCAGCTCAACGCTATCGACTAAAGAAGCGAACAGCAGTTCCCACGACAAACGCCGTTATTTAATTAGAAATGGTCCCAGTTCTCGGTTCAGCAATTTAATTTCTTCATTTAAAATCAAACCTCGTGTAATTCCTTTCAACAAAGCGAACACAGCACATCACAAGAGAGTACCCATTATCTGTTGCGAATCATGTAAGAAATTCTACAAGAGTCCGTTAGCGTCACTTAAGATACCCCAGTATTTTAAACTGAAACCAGCAAGAAGCAATTTCTCCTCTGCTAGTCAACAAGAAAAGATATGCAGCCACTCCACGGGATAGTGAAAAAGACTTCCAGGAATGCAAAATTAATACTAAGCTTGTCAAAACCGAAAGCTATGAAAAAAATTCTTAGGGCCCTTGATAGGCGATATAAAAGAACTACTCAAACAGCGGCACAGAAGAAACCAAGTAAAACCTAGGACGGCTTAATCGGTTATTCTCTCGCATTTGCAAGCCGAAAGTACTATCTGCCTCGCATGGACTCAGGAGTACTGGATACAGCGGCCAGGAGCTCGAAATATTTTAGCACGAGGACTCACACTGATGCACTAAAAGTTCCTATAGAACAGATTCACTTGATTTTTTATGAGGAACATTCGACAGTATTCAAGCGAACACTGCGCGGCGAACTCAAATAGCAAGAAAACAGACAAAAACAGCATCGAGACTGTCATTTATTCCCTAACAAGTAAGATTCGATGGAGCAGACATGTGGTTCGTTTTGACAACCGGCGAACATCACGTACAGTGAGGAAAATAAGCCAATGGATGCCTCTAAGATGTCATACGTACGTAGTACAGACGGACGGTACACACAGAAGAAATGCAAGCTGGAACAACTACAGCTGGAAGAGCAGCATCAGACCTAAAGAAGCATAACAATAACGTTGGAATTCGAAAACGGCGATAAGCCGTAAATTCTAAGCTTGCATTTGATCAGCTTACTGTACCCATACAAATAAATAGCAACGCGCACCAGAATAGCCGGTGCGATCATGCGTTTTGTGCAATTCAGCCCATCG